GTTCATGTCCATGTTTCAATCTGCCTGGCCTGGAGCTTGCCTGGAACCTGCCAGGGGTGTGTTTGGTTAGTGACCTGGGATTTTTCTGCCTGGTGAAGTTGCCTGGGTACGCTGCCTGGCTCCAGGCGTAGCAAATCGGACGCCTGGCCCTCTCCCCAACCTGCCTGGGCAAGATGGCCCCACTTATAATTTACTATACCCCATAATATATGGGCAAAGCACTTTCCCCTCCACCTCCACTCACGTTTCCCCTCCCCACAGCTCACAATCTTCTCTCTCTCTTTGGGATTGTTCTTGAGAGAAGGGGAGAAGGAATTGCATGGGAAATTGATTATTGGCTTTGATTCTTCTTTCCCCCAACAATATTTCTAGTTCCTAGTCAGATCTGGTGAAATCATGAAGGTGAGACTGCAATTTTTACCCTATCATGTGTGCCACGATTTGCTGCCCCCTTCTCTGTTTATTTGTTCTTGTGATTAGAACTTGCTAGCATGAACGCATCTAGTGCTTCTTTTCATTTGGCTTCTTTTTTTTACTTGATTGGAAGCTACAACCTTCCAGATCTGAAGAAACCTCTTACTAGAGTAATAATCTAGCAGTACTTTGCATATATGTGTGCACGCATGTAATCTTAAATCTGGCATAGAACAATCTCTCTGTTATTGGTTCTACTGACTACATATACGTACATCTCACTTGTTTCTTATACATTTATTTCATCTAATATTCAGATGTATACGGAATCTGTCCATTATGTTATCAAGAAACGACGGGCGTTAGGTGTTCTAGCTGTAATGTTGGCCATTGTCCGGTGGCGTCGTCAACGTAGACATTACAGTCTTAGAATGTCTCGAAGAAAGTATGGGCCATTGGTTGATAGAGATCTGGAGAGGCAAAAAAAGTTGAATGACCTGTACAATTCAACCGATAAAAATTGCATCAGTCAACTCCGGACGACGGGGCCGCTGCGCAGTGGGTTTGATGATGTGAACAAACAAGTGATGCTCTCCAAATCTACTCTAGATGGCTTATCGGTAATTATCTCATACAAATTATCTATTTGTCGAGTGTTCAACTACTGATGTGGAACTAACAATAAAATTCATGTAGGCTAATGATCGTGGAATTCTCTCTAAACCGATTCAGTTCTACGACAAGTTGAAGGATTATTTAGTGGCTCGTCGGCAGATGGCTCTTTTATGCAAGACCCTTTCTCTGCAGCTGAAACTGACAATGATGATAAGGTAAAAGATGACATGATGAATGATATGTCCACCTTTGATGAAGCGAAGGGTCCAACAGGTCATGACTCGGATAAATTAGATACAGATAGTGATGATTGTGAAGCGGTGGCTGCTCTTGCTGCACTGATAGTCAAGTTTCCTCGTCCAATGTTTTTTTGACCCTTTAACAGTAGGAGAACCTCCTACTGTTTTTGTATTAATATAAAAGGGGTAACACTTTACATGAGGATTTTTACATGATGACTTTACAATTCACCCTTCCTTTGGGAGGTGGGGGGGAACTTAAGCTATAGAGGAGAGGATGAGTGGGATGAGATTTTTATGCTTTTCCTTAACCCTATAGGTAAGGAGAGAAAAATCAGTCTTAAGCCTATCCAACCATGAAGTCTTTGAGGGCATCATCCCCCTGAAATGTTTGTTGTTGCGTTCCTTCCAGATACTCCATGCGGCCGTCAGGAATAGCTCCATGAAAAGAGGCCTGTTCCAGTTATTCTTGGCAGACACAACTTGTTGCAGGCGAGGTTGTCCCTGATTCCACGTAATTCCAAGGCTGGACCAACATTCAGTACTGAATTGACACTCAAAAAAGAGGTGTTCCAGTGTTTCCTCAATGTGCAGCCCACATAGGATGCAATCATAGTCATTTCCTATATTGTAATGTCTCCTCTTGAGCATATTTCGCGTGTTCAATCGGTCAGAAAGGAGCAGCCATCCAAAAACTTTAATTTTCATGGTGGATTTTCCTCGTCCAATGTTGCGGCTCTAAAGCCTAACAAGAAAAGTTTCAAAAAAAGTCCAAAGCCAAATACTCTGCCACCACCACAAAATGATAAAGCTAAAAGGTCAAAGCCAAGATCATCTCAAGCATCACAAGATGACACTAATATGGATGTGCTGCTCACAAGTACTTTGATAGGCATACGAGAAACCCTTGCAAGTCCAGTACAGACTGTAGCCCCAAAGGACCCAAATGCTCCTTTATGGGACATGCTCAAGAAGATTCCGTTGCCACCTGATGAGAGGATGTCGGTCGGGATGCATCTATGCAAGCCAGAATTTGCAGTCCATCGAGGTTTTCTTGTCAACATGGGTCAAGAATACCTGGAGCGTTGGGTGTATACATACTTATCTTATCTGACAATTATCCTGCTGGCAAACGTGTCGGCGATGATCTTGTTGGTAACCTTGGAAACAAAGATCCTGCTAGTAACCTTGGCGATGATCCTGCTGTTAACTCTAGCCCTTTCTGAGTAAGATTGATTGGTGGTCTACCATATTGTTGGATCCTTTTGGTTGCAAAACACTAGTTTCTAAGTAGTCAATGACTAGCTTTTGGCTATGCACAACTGATGTCTAAGTAATGGCTGATGGTGGTATTATTTTGCTACAGCCTTCTGCTTAGTTTCCAAGTAGTATCAGCATGCATGATATGATTATTAGATGCTAATGTGAAAGCTGTGTTGCTTTCTGACTTGGATAAGTTTCTAGGTAGTATCAGGATGAATACATAATTAGACTTCTGGTTATGTTAATTCCACAAGGATAATTTGTGTATCTCTTGCATTCCAGATGTGCTGGACAATGAGTATTAATCAAATGTAATGCATTGTGGTTATTCAACAGCAATGTTGCTGTGTATCCTCAGAGTTATAAAATCATTTGCCTTCAGTGTTATGCTTATGAAACTTCAGATTATTATTACTTTTTGCTTATCAAATTATTTGGCTTTGTTATGCTTTTGAAAAGTCCGACCATATTTATTTATATTTATATTTAGCATATGCATATCGGTGATCTCCAATCCCAGGCAATATAGCAACCAAACACTGCCTGGGCCATTTATCCACACAAGCACGTTCCCAGGTCAGCAACCAAACGCAGCCTAGAAACATGGTCGTGCCTGGCCAGGCATTTTTTGCTGAGATGTCCATGCAACTCCCAAGCAGCTATTTTGCCCAGGCAAACCAGTGACACGATCCAAACACACCCTTAATTCAGGTGGGGGGTGAGTGCGGGTTGAATCAGGCAAACGGCAGGGGGTTTTGTGCAAAACTACACGCGCTGACCGGCCCAGCCAATTGGCGAGTTCTCATTGGCCTGGGACTAAAACATCACATTGGATGCAAGTTGAGGTATGGATTGGTCTAGTTTTGCAAGTTTAGGACTAGATCATCACATTGGATGCAAGTTAGGGTACCTGGGATGCTATTACCTCCATTATCATGGGGTTCACGACAAGATCCATCACCCCAGCCAAGGACAAGTTCACCAGATTTGGTGTGGGAGAGTTGCCAGAAGATGGCGTAGTTCCAACGAAGGCTTTTACCATCAGCTTCAACTAGGTCCTGGAGTTTATTTTGCAAGCCCACCAACGCAGACGCTGCTACGAGATTTTCAGATATGGCACCTCCACCTTTCGTCAGATATGTGAAGGCATCTAAGCCCAACACAGAAGCACAAAGGGATTTGTCCTCCTCAGTCCAGGACCCTCTGGTGCCTTCCTCCTCGATCTCTGTCTTCATCAGTACACTACCTGCTCAAAGTGGTAGGAGTCAGGTCACATTAACAAAATAGCCACATATAAAAACGAGAAAGCAAAACAAGAAGGGCTGCACTGGCGTGCGAGCTAGCGCCCTATGCCAGTAATGGCTCCCACGCAGCCCCAATATCATCGTGACCGGGAGCGGAGAGATGCACATCCGATGCATGAAGTGGTCAGACTGTGTGGTGGTATCGCATGCTATAGCGTAAAAGCAAAGTTCATGCCACATATTTCCCCAGAAGATGAGTGCATGTCCTTTGATTTCGAGAAAGTGTGCGTCGTTGATCACTCACTTTCGATAAACAAAGTCGCACAGGACCACCCAAATTCCAAGCAGCATGCAACAAATTCAGTGTTGTACCAAATTTCACTTTTATCATTTATGGAAAAGTTGAAATTTGTCCAGTTACTACTGAAAAAATATAGGGGATTTTTTAATTCGGCAAAAAATGTGCCAACAACTGCAATAATCTTACAGTCATAGGCCAAATAGTACCATTCTAGCTATGCTTATTTTATCATAAAGTGAATGCAAAAGAACAGTTTATCATGTCGTCTCCACCTTCGGTATGAAGCCATTAGCAACTTAAAACATTTTTCTGAATGTTTGGTATCAGAACATCAAATTAAAGGTTGATGCATATTTTATTACTTTGTCAATAGAAATGCCCGATCAGTAAGGTGCTGGATCTACGGCGGATCTAGATCTGGATGGTGTACCAGGTATGCACCAGCACACCTAGAAATTGTGTAGATCAGTGGGGACTAATTAGTGGGTGAAAACAAGCTCATACCTCAAAATCCGACGGCCAAAGCTTGCGGGCGTGACCGGGACAGCAGGGAGGCGATGAGCATGAACAGGAACGGCGAAGCCGGCAACGGTGGAGGGGTTTGAGGGGAGGCGTCAGCCGGCGGTCGTGAGCTATGGGCATGGCGGTGGCTTGTAGGCCACGCGCGCACGCGGTGGAAGAGTAGGGATGTAGGTCGAGATTGGTCGGTCAGGACTCGAGACTAGGTAGGGGAAGAGGAAACAAAGGTACGGGAATGGTGGGGAAGGAACCGGCTCCTCTCACTATCAGTCTGTCACGTGCACAACACTTCTTGCGGCGCTAGCACGGATATGGGCCAGCAAAATAGCAAAAGCCCATCTGAGGGGTGAAAGCAGCCAAATACAACCCATTTCTGAAACTTCTACAAAAAACGATCTTAAACTTCGCCTATAAAAAAGCAAAAAAAGTGTGAAATTGGCCTATAAAAAGCAAAAAAAAAAACCAATCTGATCTGATTTTTTTCACAAGTGACCCTTCTACATGACACCATGGGATGGGGCGTCATGCTAGATGGCGCGACGACTACCTCTACCAAAAAGACATCATTCTATCTAGCATGATGCCCCGGGCCAAGGTGTCATGCTATCTAGAATGGCGTCTTAGATCCAGTCGTCATGAAAATGGTCATTTTGTGGAATATTTTTGGATCCGATTCATTTCTTTTTTCGAGAAAACTTTCAATCTATTCATCGATTTGTCAAGGTAGTACAAAGAACAACAGAAGTAAGAATTACATCCAGGTCCATAGACCACCTAGCGACGACTACAAGCACTAGAGTGAGCCGAAGGCGCGCCGCCGTCATGGCCTCTCCCTTATTGGAGCCGGACAAACATTGTTGTAGTAGACAGTCGGCAAGTCGTCGTGCTAAGGCCCCATAGGACCAGCGCGCCAAAACGGCAACCGTCGCCGATGAATAGAATCCTAGATCGGAAAGATCCAACCTGCAGACGGATGGATCCAAGCGGATCCACCGAAGACAAACACCGACCAGATCCAATGAGATCCGCTGGAGACACACCTCCACACGCCCTCCCACGACGCTACTAGAAAGTAGAACTTGATGAGTTAATTGTACTTTCCCTCGAATTGGATAGTAGCTCATCACAGAAAACTGTTCACGTGATGCCTACACCAACTAGAGAGGAAGCTAATGATAATGATCATGAAACTTCAGATCAAGTTACTACCAAACCTCGTAGGTCAACCAGAGCACGATCTGCACCAGAGTGATATGGTAACATGTTCTGGAAGTCATGTTACTAGACCATGACGAACCTATGAACTATGAGGAAGCGATGATGAGCCTAGATTTTGTTAAATGGTTTGAGGCCATGAAATCTGAGATATGATCCATGTATGAGAACAAAGTGTGGACTTTGGTGGACTTGCCCGATGATCGGCAAGCCATTGAAAATAAATGGATCTTCAAGAGGAAGACGGACGCTGATGGTAGTGTTACTATCTACAAAGCTCGACTTGTCGCAAAAGGTTTTCGACAAATTCAAGGTGTTGACTACGATGAGATTTTCTCACTCGTAGCGATGCTTAAGTCTGTCCGAATCATGTTAGCAATTGCCACATTTTATGAAATCTAGCAAATGGATGTCAAAACTGCATTCCTTAATGGATTTCTTAAAGAAGAGTTGTATATGATGCAACTAGAAGGTTTTGTCGATCCTAAAGGTGCTAACAAAGTGTGCAAACTCCAGTGATCCATCTATGGACTGGTGCAAGCATCTCGGAGTTGAAATATACGCTTTGATAAGGTGATCAAAGCATATGGTTTTATACAGACTTATGGTGAAGCCTGTATTTACAAGAAAGTGAGTGGGAGCTCTGTAGTATTTCTGATATTATATATGGATGACATATTGTTGATTAGAAATGATATAGAATTTCTGGATAGCATAAAAGGATACTTGAATAAGATTTTTTTCCAATGAAAGACCTTGGTGAAGCTACTTATATATTGGGCATCAAGATCTATAGGGATAGATCGAGACGCTTAATAGGACTTTCACAAAGCGCATACCTTAACAAGATTTTGAAGAAGTTCAAAATGGATCAGTCAAAGAAAGGGTTCTTGCCTGTGTTGCAAGGTGTGAAGTTGAGTAAGACTCAAAGCTCGACCACGACATAAGATAGAGAGAGAATGAAAGTCATTCCCTATGCCTCAGCCATAGGTTCTATAAAGTATGCCATGCTGTGTACCAGACCTATTGTATACCTTGCCATGAGTTTGGCAAGGGAGTACAATAGAGATCTAGGAGTAGATCACTGGACAGCGGTCAAAATTATCCTTAGAGGACTAAGGGATATTTCTCGGCTATGGAGGTGATAAAGAGTTCATCGTAAAGAGTTATATCGATGCAAGCTTTGACACATATTGAAAGTGGGAGCATTTAGCTAGAGTAGCTCCATGCAGAGCATTGTAGACATAGAAATTTGCAAAATACATACGGATCTGAATGTGGCAGGCCCGTTGACTAAACCTCTCTCACAAGCAAAACATGATCACACCTTAGTACTCTTTGGGTGTTAATCACATGGCGATGTGAACTAGATTACTGAGTCTAGTAAACCTTTTGGGTGTTGGTCACATGGCGATGTGAACTATGGGTGTTAATAACATGGTGATGTGGACTATTGGTGTTAAATCACATGGCGATGTGAACTAGATTATTGACTCTAGTGCAAGTGGGAGACTGGAGGAAATATGCCCTAGAGGCAATAATAAAGTTGTTATTTTATATTTCCTTATATCATGATAAATGTTTATTATTCATGCTAGAACTGCATTAACCGGAAACTTGATACATGTGTGGATACATAGACAAAACATTGTGTCCCTAGTAATTAAGCCTCTACTAGACTAGCTCAT